GGCCGTAACCCTAGAAACAGAGTTCAGAAACGAATCCATGGCGAGCATCACAGCCGGCGGACGATTCGCCTGCGGGATGACCACCGCAGGCTTCTTGATCTGCAAAGGGAGCAACGAAAATGGAGAATTGAACGTGCCCTTCAATTCAGCTTACGAGTACAGTGGTTTATCTCTGGGCTTAAACCATAGCTGCGCGATCCGGAGATCGAATCAAACGATCGTTTGTTGGGGAGGAAAAGGTGCGTTTTCTGGCGGTGCAATTCCCGGCGGGTTTTTTGAATCCATTGTTTCCGGGCCGGAGTTCTCCTGTGGGTTGGGAACGAGCAATTTGAAGGTGGTTTGTTGGGGCCCCGGCTGGAAAAACGGGTCGTCGGAGCTTCTCCTCCCTAAGATTCTTCCCGGTCCTTGCGTCGAAAGCGATTGTAAAGAAGATTGTGGTGTTTATCCCGATTATCAATCCCTCTGTTCTGGTAATAAAAAAATCTGCAAACCCTGTGACCGCATTCAAACACCTTCGCCTCCGTCTCCGCCGCCTCCTGCGGCGGATGCAATTCCATCGCCACCGTCTGATTCCAAGGGGCTCAGGAAGGGTTTATTGGCATTCGCAGTGGTTGGATCGGTAGGGGCATTTGCGGGAATTTGCACTATCATCTACTGCCTGTGGACCGGCGTTTGCTTCGGGGAGAAGAAGATCCACAACTCAGTTCAGCCCACGATCAACGGCGCACCCCACAACCCACACTCCTCCAGCGGGCCCGTCTCGAGATCCTCCACCATCCGGCGACAGGGCTCCCGCCTCGTGCGGCGCCAGAGGAGCGGGACGTCGTCCAAACACGCTGACATTGCCGAGGAGTTCGCCTTCCCCGACCTCGTTGCCGCCACCGACAACTTCTCGCCGGAAAACAAGGTCGGCGGCGGTAGTTTTGGGATAGTCTACCGGGGAAAACTCCGCGACGGCCGCGAGGTGGCGATTAAACGAGGCGGGCCCGCGACAAAGATATTCCAGGAGAAGGAAACGGCCTTCCAGTCGGAGCTCTCGTCCCTCTCCCGGCTCCACCACAAACATCTCGTCCGACTCGTCGGGTTTTGCGAGGACGGGGACGAGAGGCTTTTGGTGTACGAGTACATGAAGAATGGGGCTCTTCACAACCACTTACATGACAAGAAGAACATCGACAAGAGTAGCAATTTCCTGAATACGTGGAGAATAAGGATAAAGGTCGCGTTGGATGCCTCGCGCGGGATTGAGTACCTCCACAGCTACGCGGTCCCGCCGATCATCCACCGCGACATCAAGTCGTCCAACATTTTGTTGGACGGGAATTGGACTGCCCGGGTCTCGGATTTCGGGCTGTCCTTAATGAGCGGGGACCAACAACAACGGCAACGCGGGTCGATGACGGAGAAGGCAGGGACGGTCGGGTACATCGACCCGGAGTACTACGGGTTGAACGTGGTGACGGCGAAGAGCGACGTCTACGGGTTCGGGATCGTGTTGTTGGAGCTACTGACGGGGAAGAAGGCGATCTTCAAGGGGGAGGACGGGGATCCGTCGAGCCTCGTGGACTATGCGGTCCCCGCGATAATGGGCGGGGAGTTGGGCAAGGTGTTGGACCGGAGGGTGGGGCCGCCCGAGGAGCCGAGCGAGGCGGACGCGGTGGAACTGGTGGCGTACACGGCGGTGCATTGCGTGAATTTGGAAGGGAAAGACCGGCCGTCCATGACCGACATTGTCTCCAACTTGGAGAGGGCTTTGGCTCTCTGTGAAGACAGTCACGGCGGCCGCATTTCCAGCGGCCAAATCTCCATTGTTTCCGATTGATTTCTCCAGAAATTAGAGCCTTTTTTTTTAATGTATTTGGTAGATTTCAACTATTCTTTGGAGTTGATTTGTGGGGGTACATTTTTGGATGTGGTGGTTCAGGCAGGTGTGTAGGGTTTGTTTTTTTCTAATTCTAACACAAGGTGTAGTTATTTTTTGGACTGCTAATTTGATCACCCAATTCTTTTGTGTCACATTTTTTTCAAGCTCCCAACCAATAGTACATCATTTTAAGAAACAATCAAGAATAGAGAGAGACTGCTCCTTCCGTCTCAATTTAAATTTTTAATTATCTGTTTGAGTTTATGATATTTGATTGAATTTATTTTTAACTCGTTTTATCTGAAAAATAATAATTAAATATCTTAAAAATTATATCAAAAGATCTACAAAATTAGTGGTGATAAGACTATATTATTTTATCAGATAACTAACGAAAATAAAGAAAATATTAATAAATTTTGATCATATAAATAAGGGACGGAGATCAAGCATCCAAACTTTATTTGGGTTTTACTCAAATATATCAATTGTGTGATTTGTTTGAGAATTGTCAATTTCTCAAGTACATTTTTGTAAGTGGCTTGTTAAATTGAGTTAGGCTTGAGTTGGTCCATTTTTTTTTATAGAGGGAGTCAAACATAGCTTAGTCAAACTTTAGACTCGGATGGACGGTAACGGTGCAAGAAGGAAAATGTTTTGAAATGGCTACCCCAACCCCATACCTTTAATTAGGACTTTTTTTTAGGGGGTGTAATAATGGGTATAGGTTGGGCACTTGGGCAGACTTGGATGAGATTTGACTTTGACTAAATCCCTATTATCATTATTATATTGTTAATTTTCAGTCTAATTTCATATACTAAACATTTAAATGAAAAAAAACAGCCCAGTCCATTAAATGTGGCCAAAAACAGCCTCCAACATCAAATGCTTACCGATTGACGGCCGCCCAAACATGACTCTCTCATTCAATTCACTCTTTTGTCCCAAAAAAAAATATTATTCCTTCTATTCATTTTACTTTAAACTGACCAATTAATATTTGTAAATTGTAATGTCTAGATTGAAATCATGTTTGGTGTGAATTTTTACTCTCTCTAATTCAATTTAAATTGTTTCTTTAATATTTACAAGGTCAAATTTTATTCACATTCTAAACCAATTTTTGGAACTCATTTGAAAAAATAATATAGTTTTGTCACATCTTATTTTGTATTCCCTCTGTTGCACAAAATCTTTCTCCTTTATTTTTTCATCCGTCCCAAAAAACTTTTTGAGTATATTCCATAAAAGGTTCATAGTTATAGGTCGTTTTACATATTTAGTCCCTACATATCAAATATTACTAATTTAGTCCCCAATTATTATATCATTTTTCACGAATGATCTTTTGTTAACATTTCCATTAAGAACGTGGATAAAATTGTAAATTCACACTCCTCTCTCCTCAATTATGCTTCCTCCCTCCTTTCGTACATTTTCCCAAACTCGTCGTCGAATTTGAAGCTCTAAACACAAAACTGAAATGAGTATTCCTCTCTCAATTATTAGTCTTCTTGGTGGAACCTAAAATCAAAAGCAATAAACTTTATGAATGAGTTTTATCAGTTAGTCTCAAGAAATTGCAAAGAAAATAAACATTAAAACTCGTCCATGAAGGTTACTGGTTTCGAATTTCGGTTCCCCACTTGGACAAACAATTGAGAGAGGAATGATGATTTCAGTTTTGGGTTCAAAGCTTCAAACTCAGCAACGAGTTTGGGAAAGGAGTGTGTGGGGAGGGAGGAAGCTTAATTGAGAAGAGAAAGTAGTGTGAATTTACAATTTTATCCTCGTTCTTAACGGAAATATTAACAAAGGACCATTCGTGGAAATAAATATAATAATTGGGACTAAATTAGTAATATTTGATATGTAGGACTAGGAACTAAATATATAAAACGACCTATAACTGAGGACCTTTTATGAAATTTACTCAAACTTTTTCATTTTCATTAAATGTCATTTTTACCTCTAAATAATTATTACCCTACCTATCACATCTAGGGGTGTACAAAATCTGAGTCGGACCAGAAAACCGGACCAGCCCAGAAAAATCGGTTCCGGGCTAGACCGGTAAAATTCCGGACCGGTCTCCGATCTAAAGATTTTGGACCGGTAAAATTTCGGTCCAAGACCGGATTGTCTATTTTTTTTAAAAAAAAATTAATACCTATAATAAGGAGTATACATATAATTATAAATGTAATTGTATATTTTCATTTGTTCTTCTTACTTTAATATGAAGTATAATTTTTTAAATGTAATTTGTATTTTTTAATTCATTTCATTGACCTTTACCCAAGAATATCCATAATTATAAAAAATTAAAATTATTTCCCAAAAATTGAAGTAGAATCTTTCGATTTAAAATATTAAATACTTTGACATATAAATTAAATTTTCTAAAACCAAAATACTTTAAAGTACAACTTTATAATATTTTAGAAATCCCAAAACTAACGGAAGTATAAAAATCATTTTAAACCTATTATATTGTTGATAAAAATATTTTATATTACGGAGTAATATAATTTCTTGAAACATACCCAATGGATATCAAGCTACAAATTTGAAAAACAAGTTTAAAAAATTGACAAAAAAATTAGAAAAAATAAATTCCGGGTTTTCCGGTTTTTACCCGGACCGGACCAGAAAAAACCGATCCGGACCGGAATCTAATCGGTCTGATTTCCGGTCCTATGCTTTAGGAGATTCCGGGTTTTCAATTTTTCCGGTTCGGTCCGATTCTTGACCGGTGTACACCCCTAATCACATCACACTTTTTCATTATAAATCTATCCCTCACAAAATACTTCTATCCATCACATCAAAGGACATTTTTGAAAAGCCAACATGAAAATATACTTCTCTTAAATCATTTAAAAATCAAAATCAGAAGCGTTTTATGGGACGGGAGTATAATTTTTTATGTAACTTTTAAATATATTTAATGTTTTTAATTCCTTACAAATTTTCAAATAAACTAAATTAAAAATAATTTCATCCAAACCTCACAAACAACAGACGAATCTTTTTGGGATGGAAGGAGTATTTTTGTGACACTTTCTTCTTTAAACTACTAATATCATCAGCATCAATATGTTAATTTCATGTTTCTTAGATTTAGCAACAACTAATTTCCCCAATACGATGCATTGGTAGTCATGTTAGTGTTTTTGTGATTTGGGGAGGGAAACCAAATCACTTTATGAAATCTCATTGTTTTCAATCTTTAGAAGTATAACTTAGACCCAAAGATTATACATAACATGAAGGACTTAAAACCATCGAAATATATTAGAATTACATTGATCCAAAACTGAATTCCATGTACCAAACGGAGCTTGAGAGGTTTCGTTTTTTACGCTAGAAACGCGGTGGGTATCTACTTCTTCGCTGTGTTTCAGCTTCGTTCATCCGATCTGATAACCAAAGCAGCCCTTTATAGCCATAATAGGCTGATATTATCAGAGTTAAAAGAATGGTAACAAACAGTAGCAGCCTCCAGATTGCAGTCATAAAGCTCTGTTAATGCAACAGGTGAAAAAAAACTCAGTAAGAATTTGCGCGAGGCATCATAATAAGGCACCGTTTGGTAATAGCATAATACCTGGAGTGTTGAGATCTTCTTGTCTTCCTGCACATGATCTATTCGTCTTTTACGCTTCTTGGCATTGGATTTCACGTCTGCTTCTTCCCTTTCCTGAGATTAAAAAAATGTTGAAATGTGAAAAGTGTGTGGTTGGAATGATTTAAAATGACAAAGAAATTACGTGACCACGTCTTCATTACTATAAAAGGAAATAAAGCAGGAAGTGTTTTTTGGGGCGTCCAAAAAATGGAAAGTTTTTTTTTTTGAATTAGGAGAGTAAGTATGGTCCCCTTTCAGATTAAATACCTCTTGAGGTTTTGGTTTGCGAAGGTGTAACTCCGACTCGGTAACCTTCATCTTGGCCTTGCAAACAGTGCTAGGGTTACAAGGAAGCAGACCGACTCCATATTGGCGGATTTTGTACAAATCTTTGGGATCATCACAACCACTACGCTGCCGGTACATGGCTTGCACCTCTTTACATAGCATTTCTTTTTTCAAGGTTTGGCATCCACATCGGATAACAACCTAACATAATTCAAACATATGAGACTTCACTTTTTTTTCCTTCTTTCTTTGGGAATAAAGAATTGCCAAGAATACCTTTTTGGAGCATTGGTCAGGTAATGGACATTCGCCAGGATGACACATCTCTGGGCAAAGATGTGTACAGAATGGCAATTTTCTGCATATATAACAACAAGAAGAGTTTTCGTAAGCTGCAAAATTTTGTGGGGCCCCAAAACATCTAATTTTGCTCAATAAGATGGAAAAAACTGTTTCGAAATGGTTTTTAAAAGAAGGGTTTTGAGTTGGTATACCTGTGGCAGGGTCCTCTACATGACCGGACAGACAATTGATCTTTTTGAGACAAGGTGTTGTAGTAGATGCACTCGAATGCATGAACCATGGCACCACAATGGCATGACCTCTTGATCAATGTTTTGCAAGGAGGGCACTCTCCAAGATGGCATGGCAAGGGGCAAGGATGTGGACATGCCGGCTCCCTCTCCTTGAAAAAAAGAATACATTTTTATAGTAACATCATTATGGCTTGTACAAACTAGCCGTGATTTTTGTGGCTAGAAATGGCATTTTTTATTATATTGAGTCGTGAATGATGACTATTGACTATTGAGGTGCAAAAAAGTGATATTTAATGCTATTTGAGATAACAACAAACTTAGTAAAATCCCACATAAAGTAAGGTCTGGGATGGCTGTGTGAAAGCAGACCCTAGCCCTACTCGGAAGTAGAGGCTATTTCTAAGAGACCCCCGACTCAAATACAGGACATACAGGATGAAAGAAATATCATTTCTAGAAAAATAAATGGTTGGATTCTAACCCTGAGTTACTGAATTCACTCACTCCACTCTTTCCCGTATTTATGGCAACTTAGTTCTATCATTCAGCAAACAACATTGTTCTTTTGATGACTAATGCCTCATATACATTATATTAAAGCATAGTTCATGTAGTGTAGTGCGGTAAACATTTGTTGTGAACATGTAAGAAAACAGAAGTAATAAAGTGAATTAGAGATCAGCGGTTGGAACAAAAGATCATACCTTTTGGCAGCGAAGAGTACATTTTTCACATGAATCAGCTCTACTATGCCCTTCTGATGCAGAAGAAGAAGGATTCAAGCTAATGGCATGACACGTTTTAGTACAGTAGTGATTGCCACAGTTGAGAAGATATCCACATAGGTTATCACACGAAAATTCAGCGCTGTTTGAGCACACCATCTGAGAGGGAGAAAGTGTTGAAGCACTTTAAGGATTACTGGAATGAACACTTAGTGCTAGTTTGGATGATGGAGGATTTTGAGAAGAGAAATCCAGTAGAGAACAGTGAGAGAAGAGAAAATGAGTAATTTTTTAAGATTTGAGATTGAGATGACTTGAAGAGAAAGGAAAGTAAGGGTCCGTTTAAAAACTGGAAAATACTAGGGAAAGAAAATAGAAACGAAAACATAGAGAAAACTTTTACACTATGTTTGGTTCAAGGAATTTGAGAGGGAAAAGAAAATGAGAAGGAAAACATTTTTCTTGTTTGGTTAGAGATGAAAGGAAAAGAAAATGGGAAGGAAAAGAAAATGAGAAGGAAAAATGTACTGAGAGGAGGGAAAACCAAGTTCCTCTCATTTTGGTGAGGAAACTGAGGGAAAACAATTTTCTTTTCTTTTCCTTCCAGATAGCTTGAACCAAATATAGTGTTAAGGAAAGAAAAAAGGAGGAAACTAAAAGGCTAAAATTTAATAAATTTATTTTAGATATTTGTTTATACTAATTTTATAAGGAAATGGAGTATGTCGTTTATATAAAGACTAAGAAATCTAAATATCTATATATGTAAATTTGCAAATATTATAAAAATCGTATTTCAATTTTTGCATTTTCCTAGAGAAAAACAAACGTAAGAAAATGTTTCTCCTAGGGGGTTTTCCCATTTTCCTAGCACTTTCTAGGGAGTATTTATATTTATATAAGTACAAAATGGAATGGAAAATGTCATTTAACTTTATACGGGTCTCAAAATTGCCTACTTATTCCAATCCAACATCATGTAACTTATGAGATGAATTTTCTAAATACGAGAACAGATGCCTGTAAAAACTTCCATGAGAGTAGGAAGAAGATGACCAAGAATATAACTTCACATGAGATCTTGGAAATGTAATACTAACCATCCTTTCTGCTCCAATGTGGTTCCCCACACAAGACCTCCAAACAAGTTCAGGGCAAGCAGGACATGGTGTTCCAGGGGTTGAATCATTTTGAAGAGTTGACCTCTTTTTCTTCGGTTTCAATGTAAATTCTGGAAGAGGGGGAGGTCTAGGGCCATGGCACCTGATTCAATTAAATTTTTATGAAAAAAAATTAAACAAATTCGCATGAAAATATTCGTGTGTACACCTAAGCATAAAATATATGACAAACCTCAATTTGCACTTGTGACCACAAGGGTATTCTTCATTACAAATTAACCGACATGCGGGACAAGCTCCATAGTGGCATTTGTGTGTCTGGAGAGGGAGAAACAAATTATGTATGAAACTTGGCACTAAAACAAAAAGACTAATAAGATACACAACAGAAAAGGTGGAATTTAGGTACAGAGTACGGACAATAAAGGGAAATATACCTTAAAGGCTTAAATTGAATCCAGCAAAATCTGTAAAGAAAAGTACAGTAAACAAACCTTAGAAACTGATGCATGTCTGCATAAAAGTGTCATACGGCAAAGTTTGGGGCATTTAGGGGGTTTCTGTTCAGATTCTGTGCCGCAAGGAACCTGATAAAAGTTAAAGGAATGATTCTAGACATGTAACTGTAGCTATGGAAGTAGTGTTATTGTCATTGTTTAGTTAAAATACACAAGATAAAAGACTCAACATGAATTGATAAAAGAAGAAAATGTTATTCTCACCTCAAAGTATGTCTCCCCACACAAACATGAGATTGTCACCATAACCGGGCATGGAGCACAAGCACCTCTACGAGGATAACAAGAAATTATCACCTCTAATTCCCATTTTAATGATGTAGAGCAGAAAAAGATAACGGATCATCATGAATGGTGAATTTTCATGAAAGCAGAAAAAAATGAGTGAATGTAGCTTAGTAATTCTCAATAGAGCTTCTTCAACTATATTCCAACACTTTACTATATCAATGATATACATTTTAAATATTCTTTTTTCATAATTCTGCCACTTCATTCATTTCATGTCTTACCAAATGGGCTTCTAATTTCGGCATTAAATGATCCATCACCTCACCTCCAAATGTTCACTTTTAAGCAGACGAGATAAGTACTTCTGATATAGTTATATATAGGAAAGCTACATCGATATTACCTTTCATGATTGAATGATTGGTAGCTTATCAAATGAAACAACAACAACCCAGTTGAATCCCACAAGAGTAAGGTCTGGGTAGCTTATCAAATGAAGCGTGAACTGATAGTATTAAAAGATACTAACATGCGATTGGAAGTGAACTGACATAGTAGAAAACCTGTGATATTCAGACTAAGGTGACAGAGGGAAAAGAAAGAGAAGCACCTGTGGCATGGAGCAGGGCACTTGTGGTTTCTACACCGGAGCCTCCTATCACAAATCTGGTAATCCCAAAAGATGCTTACCAAAAAAAACATATAATAAGTTTGACAAGGGCATTTCAAGTATTATACCTCAGAACAAGGGGGGCAATCTCCGTCACAGCAGCGACGCTTGCAAGCATGCCGTTCACAATCCCGAAGGTTTAAACACTTCCTTTCACATGTCAAATCTTGATAACAAGGAACCTATTCTAAAATTTCAGTTTACCATTTCCAAAATTTGAGCTTTAACTAACTAGCAATCAAGAAAGTTCATATCATTCATCAAGAAACTGCCAAGTAATACCTTTTTTGTAAGGCTCCCGCACCTACACGCCTTTGTAACAACACTTCTACAGGCCTCAATACATGGCCCACGGTGGCACCTCTCGTAGCACCTATGATATCGACAGCTCAGCATCTTATTACATGTTTCGCCACACACAGGCGGAACAACATCGCAAGACATCCCCTCGTAAGCTTTCTTCCCACAAGGACATGTCCTCTTCACCTGAAATGGGCACTTTCCGCATTCGCCCTCATGGCAACCTCTGTCACACTTGTGCTTACCACAACCTAATAACAGATCACATGGACTCTCACACCTGAAAACCCTCTCAAAACACTGCCTTTCCATTGTCATCTTCCCACATTGGCATTTATAAAGGGCTTTTGCGGTACATGGCGGGCAGTCACCTTCATGGCAGATTTCATTACACCTATGAGTCTTACAAGCTAAAAGCTTTTTGCAAGTGGCATTACAAGAGAAGTTCTTGAAACCACATCGCTTCATATCCTCTACCGAACCGCAAAAGCACTTGGCTTTTACCAATTTAGGGCAGGAGGGGCACGGGCCTGGATGGCAGAGCAGTAGACAATGGTGCCCGCAATTGTGTTTCAATGGTCTGCCACAGATTTCCCCGCAGGAATGAGGTAAAACCCATGGATCGTGTGGCGGGTTCTCTACTTTCTCGCAGAAGCAGGAATAGTTTTTTGGGATTTGGTGTTTAGGGTACTCGATTCGGCATTTGGGGCAGTGCCAGAGGAGAGAATGTTCGCCTGGGGTGGCGCCTCGGGATGCGGCGCGCGCGGCGGCAAGGTTGGAGGCTTGGACACCCCATGATTGAATGCAGAGGAGGTGGAAGACGGCGAAGCAGCGGGAGGTGCAGGACCAGGTGGGATCCACCGGCCTGATCCGCTCGAGGCAGATGAGGCAGGAGAGGGCGCCCGAGCGGGAGGAGGTGAGGAAGGATTGGATCTTGATGAGATCGTGTTGCTGGTGGTTCCCACCGCCGGCGAGGTCGAGGTAGGATTTGAATATGGAGGATGAGAGGTCGGAGTGGCCGTGGCATCCGGTGGAGCTGGTGCCAGAGTCGGAATCCGAATCAGATGACAGCGGAGGAAGGGCGGCGACGGCGGAGGAGCCCATTTTCAGGATAGAAACAATTTGTCGTGCTGTCTCGCCCAAATGCCGGATGGAGTACCCCAAATTGTCGCCGGTGGACAATTTTCAACGTGATCTGCTTGGCCTCCCCTGTTATTCTACCAGGCCCCGGTCAGACCGTCAGCACTCAGCCGCAGCAATTTAGTGCCTAAAATAGTACTCCCTCATTCCAAGAAGCTTTTACCGAGTATTAGTATTCTTGTTTTATTAAATTTTGATATGCGCGTTTAAATTTTATTTTTTATTTCTATACCAATATTAAATTAAAAAAACTTGAGGTTTTTTTATTATTTGTGCAACGAAAAGAAAGATACAGGACGGAGGGAGTACTAGAGTAGTCCCTTGTGACAACAAAAATAATGTGATAATATGACAATTGACAACACTTCCAATCATACCTCTCTAATCCCTCGATTAACCCCCACCCCGGCCCGCCTTGTACCCATCACCCCCAACCCCTTCAATTTTAACTCACCCTCAGGGACTTTGGTCTTCGACATTGGTGGTTTGTGCATGGACTAAAACACTCATTCAGCAATTACATTTCTTGATCATGCATTCCAAGGTTGGCATGCAACTTGGTTTTGGTGCATGGCTCAAAACATTTGGCATTTCGCAATCTTAATCAACCTCATGTTAAGAAGAAGTATGGCATTTGACATTTGGCATTTTGGGCTTATGGCTTCAGCCCTTTTGTGTTTATTTTCACCAGTTTTTGGATGCTCTTGTTCTTACTCACGTGACTCTGAGTGCATCTTTTTTGCATTAATAACATTACCATTTCTTGGTTTGAAAAATCTAATTCATACTCCGTATAAGCTAGGATTATTTAAGCATATTAATCAACAAGTATAATGAGAACATTTCTTAGACACTTCAAAAATTGTGTAGTAACTCGGAGATTGCAGCAGCAAGTACACTGCTATATACAGAACTACATACGTACAATCCCATATTTACAGTGAGTGTTCAGAGAGAGAGAGAGCTACAATTAGAACTGAAAGCGCATGAGCAGCCTCACAGATTTCAGCTTCTCCCCTTTCTTGTCATGGAGAGGAACGGAGCGGATACCGGGCCGGATTTCAGAGACAGGCAGACAGGTCTGCCCTCCAAAGTCATCTTTCTCGGACATGTCGTATTCCCGCACCTCGATCCTGAGCAATGCCACCTCTGGAACTGTCAGTGGAAACTCAAACTCTTCTCCCCAGTTGGGGCCCCACTCATCCTCTATGACTCTCGTCTTTCTCTTCCCGCAGTCCGCCCCCACTCCTACCATATGTACCTGTCATCCTACGTTTGTTGTTCACACAAGCTTTTGTTTTTTGTGCCATTTACCCCCAATGAACTTTAAAATTCGCACCAATGGTCCATGGACTTTCTGGCACAATGCACGACAGATTTCACTCTTTATTTGTCAGACTGGGATTATAACTCAATTTATCTTTCTTTTAGCTTATTGTATGACAGGTCCTAATGGGAACCTACAATGGAGTCCATCTTTTTCTCTTTTATTAGTAGAGTAAACAGAAAGGGAGGATGTGTGCTCCTACTCATTTGGCTGAAACGGAAGCATCAAATGCTTTCAATCCCATGTCCGAATAACTCTTACCAAACGGGATCTAAATGTAAGCCGGATTACATGACAAGCTTTTGTTTTGATCAATTCCCCAGACTTGACTAATAAGATCCCATTTGGTAGTTTGGTTCTGCTTATTTACCTTCTTTCATGTTACTATCTGGCAAGACCTAATAGGACCCTAAGATGGGTTCATCATTTTCTTTTTGTATTAGCAAAGTATGTGTGCTCCTACTTATTTGGCTGAAATGGAAGTATCAAATGCTTTTCATTCCAATTTCCATATAACTCTTACCAAACGGGATCTAAGTTAAATGTAAGACGGATTACCTTAGTGTAGAAGTCTGGCGGGGAGTAGGAATCGAAATGAGTGTGGCTGAAATCTAGCCTCCATCCGTCCCCTAAGTAAACACTCACCTGCACATCATAAGACAACACATCATATAATGATTTCTAAAACAAACTCTGAGAATGCAACTGCCCCGTTTGGTTTGGATGGCAATATGGCATACTTTTTTTTTGGAATTTTTAAACCAAAAGGGTCTCTGTGTTTTTATTTTACATAAGACCTGTTCTTTTGACACCAAGGACCAATTTAATAATATGACACAGGTCCATTCGAGGGGCCTAAGGTGTTTTCGTCAACCCAAAAGTGGTTCTTTCTCCCTCAACCCCCCCCCCCAACCCACCCTTCCTATTTCAATGATATGCTACAGTAGGATGGGGGAATGGGAGAGGTTGTGGAGGGTTCAAGGGGTAGGTGGGTCTAGGAACCACTTCAAGGTCGTACGAGAAACCACAAATGAACCATGTGTCATTCAGACAGTTCAATCACTTCCGCAGCAATATTCCACCAAAAGTGTAGTCCCAGCCTTACCAACAGGGCTCAAAATATTCTTGCCTTTAATGTCAACTTCACTGTTAAGGTTGCTTTGGGATCAAAAACCTCGCCGTCCGGACATCTTTCCAAGAGGAACTGAGGCTTCTTCACATAGCCACAACCTCCATTTGATCTGAACATCCCATGCATCAACCACAGCGACTTCCCATATCCCTAAAATGAGAATTAACCATTTGAGAAAACACTGGAAGCACTAAAAAAATCTTGAAGTCAGCATTCACATACCAGTGTCCACAAGACTAACCTGCATGTTGAATGCAACCATCTGAGCTCCATGCATCCACCCAAGCATAGGGTCGAAGTTTGATGATGTCACACGTGTTCCCTTTGGATACACCCTCAGAATATGTTTTTGCGTAAAACTGTAAATGTTGGGACGAAACCCATCAACATTATTCAGAACAATGTTAAAATAGTTTGCAAGCGACAAAGAGATGAAAATCTTATTCGAACCACCTGACAACATCAGTGCCATACAGCCCAGCTGCCTTTTCAAGTTCTTGCTCGTTCAAGCTAAGACGCTTCACTTTCTCTTGTAGTGTTGTTAATGCATGCTTCAAGCCTTGCTTTGCCTTTCCGGCGCGTATCGCAATCAGATGCTTGTACTCAAGTGCTCTTGACGAGTGAATGTTATTATCATCCTCATCTAAATTATTCTTTCCCTGTTATCCAACAGAAGATCGGTGTTAGAGGTGTTGTTTGCAAAAAAAATGACAAATCAAGGGACTCTAATAATGTTAAGAAATCTCAAGGGCCACATGATAATTTGATCAATTTTGGGGAGGGGGAAGTCATTAATTCAAGAAGATAGGTGACACGAAAACATGTAAAACACCACCAGAAGATGAAGGAATCATCCCAATGGAACCTTACCAGGTCATCATCTTGTGGTTCATCTCTATTTCCGGGCATCTCTTTCCTTAATGAAGCGTCAGGCTGGCATGTAGATGCTTTGCTTAATTCTTCATCTTGATCAGAACCGCTCTAATGCCCAAACAAAGATTGGATAATAAGCAAGTACACTACGCATAAACAATAACAAAACCATGTCTAATCCCAACTCCATTTACATTACCCCATCAGCTCCATTTTCTGAAATCTCTTTCAAAGAATAGTCATCTTCGGATGAATATTTCCAAATTGGAGAGGCATTTTCTCTGTCATTGTTTTGGTGTCTTGACTCAAGGTACTCTTTGGGTGGTTTGGTAGAAAGAACAACACGGTGCTTTAACTCTTCGGGCGAAGGCAAATCTCCCAAACATCGACACTCAGGGTAATAAAGCATTTCCCCAAACACTTGAGTCAACATCTACAAACATTAAAGTGCAAAATAAAAGGTGCATATGGGGGATTTGCGATAACAGTCCTTTTAGCAGTTTTTTTTTGCAAAATCTAACCTCTGCAGCCTTGGCTTGAAGTTCAGGCGTCAAGTGATCTTCCAAAGTGATGATAACAGGATATGGAGATTTCACAAAAGCATGCTTTTTAATGGATTTCAAACATTTGATGAGAGTCACTGGAGTCGTTAATGTCCTGAAAATCTCCAAAGCTGACAACATAAGCACTCAATCTAGTTAAAATGATAATAATACCAACCATAACACAACCAGAAATAAGAATGCAGGTAAACCAAATAACCTCAATCATCAAGTATAAATTTTTTCATCTTTGATTAATTAAAAAATGAAGATTTAGACCACTTTAATTTTCACCGCTTGGTGTCGGCATAGTACCTTCCGTGAAGGACATGAATATTGTCTTTAGAAGAATTAGGCCACAAGTCCAATTCAATACCCCTCACACCTCTTTCAAGAGCTCTAATAATAGGAATCTCACTGCATTGACTGCTGAGCTGATTCCCTGTCAGGTAGGAGTTGTGACCGGTATATATGAAGTAATGTTGCAATGGGGCAGTCATGTCATGCCATACCTGAGTTTACTCACAAACCAAAGCATCCTCTTTCATAATGAAATAAAAATACCCAAAAGCAAAAATCGATAATCTAAATCATCAAACATATCCAGAATCCAACTTGCAAACACCACAAATGAGCTTAGAACAAGAACACGACGTATAAATGAATATATCAAGACGGTTGTTATTTTTGAATGTCATAAATCCCTCCAGTTCACACTGAATAGCATGTAAAAATACCTTAGCAATGCACAACAGTATGTCAATATGCAAAATCTACAAAAAAATTAATAATTTGGGGGGATATTAAGAAGGAAAAAAAAGAACCTGGGGTTTGAGAGGTCCATTGAGATCATCTTGAAATAGAAAATCAAAGAAATCTTCCAGATCAAGAGAGCCGGCGGGGGAAGGGTGGTGGGTATGCTGGGGCAAATGGTGGCGGCGGCGGTGGTGAATGTGTTGTATGATTTCGGCTGCGTCCTCGGCGGTGCACCCTTCCTCCCCCTGGTACTCCACCAGAAACCTGGCCATCTGATCGGCGTTCATGTGGGGACCGTTCTCGGTGTATCGCGAGAACACATCCCTAACTTCCGGCGGAGGCTCCCTCTCGCTAATTTTGAATTTCCGGTTGAAGCAACCGAACATCTTGTAGGAATTGTAGCTCCCCATTTCCGATTGCTATTGAAGTTTCTTCCTTTCCCAAATTATCATTAGGGCAATTTGAAATTGATGTGATTTTAGAGCTGGAGAAGGAGGAGATGGGCAGACTTGGGTTGCGGGCGAAACATAGATTTGCGAAAAAATTGAGAAAACAAAAAAGCATCAAAAGTGTCAACGGCAATTCGACGGTGTTGCCGGCCGCCGGTCGGTTGGAGCTGTGTTACGTTCCCGCCTCTTTTATTCATACCAAATGGGACTGAATTCTCCATTCATATTGAACTTTTGTATTCCCTCCGTCTCAAATTATTTGTCACATTTGTATTCCCGAAGTAAAATATGAAGTTTTTTCAATTTATTTTATTTACATATTAGTATAAAAATAAAAAATAAAATTTACATATAAAAAAATTACATAAAAAATTTTTTGAAATAAGAGGTGTCAAGAATATTTTATTTTATCAAATAACCAATAAAAACGTCGAAATAAACAAAAGTTTCCGCGACAGCTAAAAAAACAAATGTTGTGAATATTTATGGACGTAGGGAGTAATTTGTAAATATGCTACTTCATTTGTACACCAATAATCTTTAATCTTTATCATATATTTTTATTAATTTATTCATTTTTAATCAACACCAAAAAATCAAGAAAAAATTATCTCAAATAATCCCACCTTTTCACGCTCTTTCAAAAAAAAGTAGGATTATTTTTGAAAGAGCACCAAAAGGTGGGATTATTTGAGATAATTTTTCCTATATTTTTATTAATTTATTCATTTTTAATCAACACCAAAAAATCAAGAATGTGTGGTAGAAAAGTTTGGGGTACACTTAGAGTACAATTTTTTGTGTACCCATAGAATTTTTGGGTTTATAATACTTACTTCATCCCGAAATTACTTTCCGTATTTGACTTGACACAATTTTTAATATAGTGAAATATTGATGGTTGTGATTCATGTAGAGGAAACAAATTAATATAGATCACATATTTATTTTCTTAAAATGAAAAAAGAAGAAAATTTTGAGGCAGTTCAAGTAGAATAGAATGAAGATAATTACTCTCTCCGTCCCGGAGTATTCATCCAGTTTTGACTTTTGGAATTGTTTATCTAAGCACTTTGACTCATCAAATTCTCTCAATGTGTAAGCCTAAATATAGTCATGTGTGATCTTGTTTGATTTGTCTTAATATATAGATTATTAATATATATGTTGGTGTAAATTACCTAACCCGATAAACTATATTAGACCGAGTCTAGAATAGTTCACTTGATTCAATAAAGTAAAAAGGTAAAAACACTCAAATGACCGGTAGAACTGTAGGTGGAAACACTTGTAGCACAATTGATATTAGTATAAGAGAATGCACGGGTGCTTTTACAAGGGAGTTTAGAGAGAATAATTCGAATCCAGTACTTATACTATGTTAAGGGGGGGGACAGAGTATCATGCAGCCATGTGGAGGCACTCGGATGGTGGGAGGTGATGGACTTCGTCCTCTAGCGGTCTTGTCGTCTAGTGAAAGAGATTGCTCTATTGTCATGTAGTTTTTTTGGATGGAATGTCCGAATATCTCCAGCGATTCTCCACCGATTTTGGCTGCTACGGTTCAAACCACTCTGGATCCTTCCATGCCGACACTCTCTAACCCTAGAAACCACACCGGGTAGTTTCCCAAGGATGAGTTTACCGTATTTTAAGAATGAATGAGGTAATAGAGTAGTTTGACCGGTATACTATCCGAAGTATACCGGTCAACTTTCTGGTCATCCGAGCATCCTTCTGCTGACGATTAAAGTCTGCCTTTCAAATATTATCCATTTGACCGGTCAACTATTTAGTCCTCACTTTGGCCGGTTCTGGGTGGAATACACCCATCAATATAATTTCTATAATTTTTTAATATACAAATTACAAGATAAAAAGGATTAAAGAAGTGTATTGGATGGTGTGTAAAAATTAAAGTGGACAAATACTCTGGGACGGAGGTAGTATGAGACAAAGGACAGATAGTTGTAATCCCACTTTTGACACCAAAAATATATTGGTTTCGGAGGACATTGGCTATTTGAAATACTTACGGTGTGTGCTTCATTTGCAAAATTAATAGTTCTATCTTTCCAAATCACTCAGTGAACCCCAACTCATGAGGTTTGACTCTAACTCATCCTCCATCCACGTATGTCGATTGTAACTTATAAGTTTAGTTGACTTTAAAATTTAAAATATACGGAGTATATTTTAAGACTTAATACACATGGGTGGTGTAATGTATAGTTGTATACTACTTGTCTTTAGTTTTAAGATTAATGACAAAGTGTAGTTTCTTTTTCCTTTTCAAATTTCTATCTCTAAGACTATGTCTAATGAAGCTTGAGATTTGATCGTCTTCCCTCATGTCTCCACTCATTACACACTACTATGTGTGTGGTCATTATGTTGGCTATCACGTCATCTTCCTCCCCCTTTTTCCTTTTTTTTATTTTTTTAACACCATGTTTGGTTCAAGGAATTTTAAAGAAAAAGAAAAGAAAATGGTTTTTTCTCATTTTCCTTACCAAAATGGGAGGAATTTAATTTTCCCACCACTTGGTACATTTTGCCTTCTCATTCTCTTTTCCTTCCACTTTTCCTTTCTAACCAAACAAGAAAACTTGTTTTCCACTTCATTTTCTTTTCTTTTCTCCTTTGAATTCCTTGAACCAAACATAGTGTTAATGTAATTAATCAAAATTTAATACGGAGTATATATATTTTTCAACTAGTCAAGATAAACCACAATTTTTCTTCATCACTCGATGGTCAAGCATCCCCATAATACATATTTTTATTTTGTTTATACTTATTTATAAATATATTTTGAAAAAAATAAATTTAAAAAACTAAAAATTAAAAATAAATAAATAAAATGAGAAATACTCCGTAAAAAATACTCGTTTCTTCCGAAATTGGCTTAGTGATAAAAATACCTGCCATCTTATTGCATCTCGTTAAAATTACCTGTTGGTACATTTTTAATTTCTTAAGACAAAATAGTATGTAATAATATGCATGTAATATTTTTTATTTTTAAATGTCAAAAAAATTATTTATAAATACTTGATTTTGATAAATACGGATTTTTTTAACGATTCTAGTGAGTTAAATCCACTAAATTAAACAGATATTCTGAAAATATCTAACGCAATGATATACAGGTGACAAACCACTTTCAAACAATGTCATAATATTCTGAATTTGTATGCGTAATGGATGCCAAAAAGTTGTTTGGAAAAAGAAAAAGAAAATCATCACTTAACAATTTAACGTTTTCTAGACCATTTTTTCACCCAAATTAGTAAGGTTTTAATACTTGGTATATGCTAAATACTCCCTCCGTCCCCCTGTATTTGTCCACTTTCATTTTTGCACACCATCCAATGCACTTCTTTAATCCATTTTATCTTGTAATTTGTATATTAAAAAATTATAAAAATTATATATTAATAATCTATATGTTAAGACAAATCAAACAAGATCACATTATTATATTTAAGCTTACACATTGAGAGAATTTGATGAGTCAAAGTGCTTAGATGAACAGTTCCAAAAGTTAAATGTGAACAAACACAGGGGAACGGAGGGAGTATGACTTTTTATGACCCTAAGTTTTACCAAAAAATAATGCAGGAATATAGGAGGCATATGATTATTGTGTTTATTGGAGTTGGTGTACAAACCATCATATTGATCTACTATACATACATACTATAAAATGTACATATATATCTACTCTAAACTTCATCTCTTTTATTGGCTAGCTTGCTTTCACTGATTATCATCATCTCCTCTCCTCATTTAAGCCTAAATCTTTCTTCTTCTGTACCAAGAGTGGACACCGTTTTAGCATCCGAGTTGTCGGGAAGAAAACCAACTTGTCCTCCTCCGCAGGCGTCCAACTGTTCATCCAATTGTCAATAAAAAAAGAGTTGGTTAACTTGTACACGCATTTCTTTAATTACCACGTATGTAAATAACATGGTATATAGTAACACGCCAAAGACAGAGCATTATTAAATGTACCTAAAACATGTGATTAGGTGGTGGAGGAAGACGGAGAGCTCCACCCTTGCAAGCTCGTACCCGGGACAACGCCTGGGCCCACCACCAAATGCCATGAATGCACTCGTCGGTCCTTCGTTACTCTAGGAAACAAATACATAGACACATACAATCATGAGTTATATGACTTACTCCCTCCATTCCATATTAACTATCCATTATGACTTTCTTGGTACATTAAGAAATGAATGAATGTAGACATAAAGTATGTCTATATTCATTCATTTATCAATGTACCAAGAAAGTCATAATGGACAATTAATATGGAATGCAGGGAGTACAATGTTGTTGGTTTGGAGAAAAGGGTAATATGTATGTATATACATACTTGCCACCTCCATGGGTTAAAAGACCTCGCATCTTCGAACAAGTCCTGATCGAGATGCACTCCTCGAAAGGAAGCAAAAACTTTGAACCCTTTGGGGATTGTGTAACCTTTGACATCAACATCTGTCGTCGCGCGCCTAAATACTCCACCAATTATGTTTGCGACCCGAAGCGTCTCGTTAATAACCTGAAACAAAACATTTGTGACCAAAGGTGTCCTGGATGGGTACTTCTTAATTTGTTGGAAGTTGGCATTGTTTTACTCACACATTGGGTAAAATGCATGGACTTGTAGTCGTCCCATTCCAGCGCCTGTGCCTCGCCTTTCCTTAGCCTGATGTCTTCATGTTCTTTCTACAAACACATTATTTAAGATAATATATCATGTTCAATGACTGATTATTTATTCTTTTTAAACGTAAAATTCTCGTGACACCTTTCTTACTCGAGTATATGATTTTGGACAGAAACGCTTGACGAACTATGATTAGAGTAATTGAGTAGACCTTTTGAGCTTTAGTTTGCAATTTATGCTTGATTTTTTTTCTCCTTTTTGTGCCTTGGTTTGTACCTTGTGCATGGTAAAACTAAGACAGTTTACTCGTGTGGCGTAGCTCAACGGTTGGCATTAAGGGTTGCAATGAGAGGAACTATGCGAAGCACAGAGCTTCTACAAGTACTGAAAAT